GCACAAACAATGAATCATGGAACACTACATCAAAAACTAATGATGTAATGTATGGTGATTAACATAACAATAAAAAATTAAAAAAAATAAATGTACATATGCTCTGACCAAGTGATTACACTTCTGATTTGTCTTACAGATACTTGTACATGGACTCAATGTTCAATGTAGCATAGTTTATGACAAAAAAAAACAAAAACAAAACTGGAATAGCCACTAATGGAGGAATAGTTAAATTAACATACATAAGATACTATGTAGCAAGTTTTAAAACAGTATTCATTGTACACCAAAAGCAAAATTAAAAATGCAAAGATTACATTAAACCTGTTGGATAAAAGAAGTGCTAAAATTTTATGAAGTTGTCTAAGATATGGTTCTTACCAAATGTCTTGTGTCAGGCCTTGAAGCTTGTAACTGTTCAAATTCTTCTATTTTTGCAAGATCTACGTCTTCTTTTAGTTCCCATGTACTATCTTCATATGGTAATGAGCACCACTTTACTAAGTAGTAAATAACAGGCTGTAAAAAAATTTTTTTTTTCCATTTTACTATTTTGAAAAAGAGAACTTAGAAACAGTTTAAATATGCTTAACCCACATCAATAAAAACTAATGAAACATTTTCCAGTGTTTTTTAGGTCATCAATTTTTAAAAAGGAGTTAAGTTTTAACATTTGGAAAGTTTTAGGTTTTTCCTAAATAAAAAAATTTTCCCCTAAATATTTACCTCACCAGTATCTTTATCTTCACAAAAAGAGACTTCTAACACTCTGTCTACTTCAACGTAGTCTGGGTTAAATGGTTCCTCCTCCATCTAAAATTAAAAAGTAACTTAAGTGACAATTGACAAAGAAGTAGAAAGATTAAAGTGAAATAAACACAAATTTACTAGCTATTTTCTAGAACAGAAGCTTGATTTCAATTAAATTTTCAATAAATGGGACACTTCCATTTTAATTTCCAAAAGACATCTAAGATACGTGTCTATATTATGAATCACCACGTTATGTGTAATAAAACCAAATGAATAACACTAAGAAATAAGATACCTCAGACAAGTGACTCACTCTAGAAGACACATTCTTTAAAATTTTCCTAGAAGAGCCTCTGTATCTTTCTTGTGCCACTTGCCTCAGGTCTACGTGTTGAAGACCAATCACCCCACCTGCAGGCTCATCTCATCTCTCAGCTGCATCAAGCATTCTTTTTTTTTTTTTTTTTAAAGATTTTATTTATTTATTTGAGAGAGAGAGA